ACCAGAAGTTTGTACTTGCTGTGAGTCCCTGAGTTCCTGTCCTTGCCTTCTCTTTCCATTCCATGCCCCACTCATCTGTCTCCCAGTGGCTCTTCCCCCTTATGCTGAATATATTGGGTTTCATCCATGTCTGGTATGAGGAGGCTATAAAGGGTTAAAAAACAAACAAACAAAGAAACAAACAAAAAACCCTACTCTAGCCTTAAGAAACTAACAGCATAATGGTAGGAAACAAAAGCAACAGAGTACCTCTCTCCAGTCAATATGAAGGCATCACTTTGGAAGTCTCAGTACAAATACAATAGAATCAGCAATACAATAGAATCACTCTGCTTTCTAAGACTTGCCGGCCCCCATTCCAGGGGACCTCTGCACTTCCCCTGGCAGGACCTATGTCACCGGGGCCCCACCTTCCCTGGCTACTGCCTCACTGGCTGCTTTCCCTCCCTCATGCCCCTAGCTCCTAGACCTATTTGACAGTGAGGATCCTCGAGAGCGGGACTTCCTCAAGACCATTTTGCACCGCATCTATGGCAAGTTTTTGGGGCTCCGGGCTTATATCCGTAGGCAGATCAACCACATCTTCTACAGGTGAGGCCAGGAGCCCAGGCTTAGGAGCAAAGCATTCTGCTACTGAGGTGGGGTGGGAGCAGGGAGGTGGGGGGACTGTACAGAATGCTGGAGGGACATCAGGGGTTGTCAAGAGCCATTTTTCTTCCCTCAGGTTCATCTATGAGACGGAGCATCATAATGGGATTGCTGAGCTCCTGGAGATCCTGGGCAGGTGAGAGGCTGGGTGGGGGCACAGATGCCTGAAAAAGGTTGGGAGGATTGGTGCACTGAACTTGGATCTGACCCTTTGGTCCTAACAAATGTCCCTTAATTCCTAGCATCATCAATGGCTTTGCCCTGCCCCTTAAAGAAGAGCACAAGATGTTCCTCATCCGTGTCCTGCTTCCCCTTCACAAGGTCAAGTCCCTGAGTGTCTACCACCCTCAGGTGAGCTGCCTTCCTCTTGATAATGTCCAACTCAGGCAGCAGAGGAAAGAGTGGGCAGGAAGGTGTTCCAGCTGGGATAGGGGAAGCATAGGGAGCAGGGGGGATAATTCCTTCTCTCCACCTCCCCTTCCCTTCTGGGATCTTGCTTCTATCACTGACTTCTCTGAGAACTTCTAGGACCTACACCTCACCTCCTTTCTACCTCACACTTTTGCAGCTGGCATACTGTGTGGTACAATTCCTGGAGAAGGAGAGCAGTCTGACTGAGCCGGTAATTCCCCTTCTGGGCCCCAAGGCCCACCTCTTACTGTCGTCAGCATCACTTGCCAGTCTGTACCTACTGGGGGTGCCATAAGGGGGTGCTCAGGAGGGCTGTGACCTGACTGGTAACATGGTTTCCTCTCTGAAGGGGAAGCGAAACCTATATACACCTAGGAAACAGATCTAAGGCAAAGAAACGGGCAGCTGGCTGAGATTACCCAAACTGTGCCCACCAGGGTGGGGGAGAGAGCAGGTAGGAAAACTTTTTGGAGACCTAGGCAGGTGCAAAGAATTTTCATCCCCATGCCCTCCTTGTCTCCCAGGTAATTGTGGGACTTCTCAAGTTTTGGCCTAAGACCCACAGCCCCAAGGAGGTGATGTTCTTGAATGAGCTGGAGGAGATTCTGGACGTCATTGAACCTTCCGAGTTCAGCAAAGTGATGGAACCCCTCTTCCGCCAGCTGGCCAAGTGTGTCTCTAGCCCCCATTTCCAGGTGAGACTCCAACCCAGCACATCCCAACCCCTGCCAGAAACTGAGAAGGTCTTGAGTGAAACAGGCAGCACCTACCGAGTCCGCCTCTTTCCACCAGGTGGCAGAGCGTGCTCTCTATTACTGGAACAATGAGTACATCATGAGCCTGATAAGTGACAATGCTGCCCGAGTCCTCCCCATCATGTTCCCTGCACTCTACAGGAACTCCAAGAGCCACTGGAACAAGTAAGGCGCTGGGGTGGGGCTGGGTGGTGGGGATCCAGTTTGGGAAACTTTGAGGGTATGGAAGAACTAAAGAGCCAGGGGTCTCACCTGGTCACCCAGCAAGTGGGGCTGATGTCCCCTACATATTGATAGGACCTTGAGGGGCTGACTGGAGCAAAAAAAAGCCTGCGTACCAAGATCTCTGTGATACCAAACAGCAGGGCAGCGGCCTGTGTTATACCACTCCTTGGGGTCAGCTATTCTGCAGGTCCTATCACAGCTTTGGAGATGTAATTCTATGCAGTGAGAAGCTGATGTGACCCTCTTTGAGAGTCTGTGTAAAGAATCCCAGGGTTTTAGGCCAGGCACGGTGGCTCACGCCTGTAATCCCAGCACTTTGGGAGGCTGGCGAGGCGGGTGGATCACGAGGTCAGGAGTTTGAGACCAGCCTGCCCAACATAGTGAAACTCCCATCTCTACTAAAAATACAAAAATTAGCTGGACGTAGTGGCAGATGCCTGTAGTCCTAGTTACTTGGGAGACTGAGGCAAGAGAATCACTTGATCCTGGGAGGTGGAGGTTGCAGTGAGCCAATATCATGCCATTGCACTCCAGCCTGGGCAACAGAGTGAGACTCCGTCTTTAAAAAAAAAAAAAAAAAAGAAACTCTCAGGGTTTTGAAAAGACTTTTCTGCTAAAAGCAAGCACACTGTGGTGCAGATGCAGTCCGTCATGCTGCATCTACATGCCCATCATGCTGCTGGGAGGCCATTAGTGTGGGTTAGAGAGTGGGAAAGGATGGGAGGTAGGCAGGGGTGAGGGAAGGATGGGGTGAAGAGCATGGGGTGAGGGAAGGATGGACACGTGGACCAATATTTGTGAAGACCATGAAATGCCAGTCTCAAACCAGGTGATTTGGCCAGAGCTCTCTTCCGATACTGCATAGAGGTTTGTGTACTGGACATAGTAAATGACAAAGCTCTTAGCAGAGATACTCCTGTGAGAGAACAAATTGAGTTCCTCGCACTAAGGGCAGGCTCTGGCCTCCTACTCATCTTTCTTCCTGGTGGTAGGACAATCCATGGACTGATCTACAATGCCCTGAAGCTGTTTATGGAAATGAATCAGAAGCTGTTTGATGACTGCACACAACAATACAAGGCAGAGAAGCAGAAGTGAGTATCTCTCTCCCCGGGAGACTTTCATCTTCTACCACCAGCTCACTGTGTTTCTCTCAAGCCCAAACCCAATCCTACTTTTGCTCCTCAGGGGCCGGTTCCGAATGAAGGAAAGGGAAGAGATGTGGCAAAAAATTGAGGAGCTGGCCCGGCTTAATCCCCAGGTGAGGTTTTCCTGCCACTGCTGTGAACCGAGGGGCCAGCCCATCTTGAGCTGGGGGAGAGTTTGTTAGGGGAGGAATATGGGGCACACAGGCCTCCAAGCCTCTGAAGTGGCTCTCACCACTTGTCCATGTCTCCCCTCACTCAGTATCCCATGTTCCGAGCTCCTCCACCACTGCCCCCTGTGTATTCGATGGAGACAGAGACCCCCACAGCTGAGGACATCCAGCTTCTGAAGAGGACTGTGGAGACTGAGGCTGTGCAGGTGGGACGGCAATGTAGCGGGGTGGAGCAGAAATAATAGTTCTGGAAGGGAGAGGAGACGGAAACAGCACAGCCAAAGAATAAGGGGAGGAAACAATAGAATTCACTGGGAATTGGTCACCGTTCCTCTCCTTGTCCCTATTCACACACAGATGCTAAAAGACATCAAGAAGGAGAAAGTGCTGCTGCGGAGGAAGTCAGAGCTGCCCCAGGACGTGTACACCATCAAGGCACTGGAGGCGCACAAGCGGGCGGAAGAGTTTCTAACTGCCAGCCAGGAGGCTCTCTGACCCCTCACATTCCTACCACAGGGCCACAGCCCACTCAGCCCTGGGACACTGCCCCGGCCCTCCACACTCTGCTCCCTACTGGCTGACTTGGGGGAAGGCAGCGCCTCTCTAGCTACTCCAGGGAGGGGGATGCGGGCACTTGAAGCAGGGACACCCACAGAGTGATCCCTCTTCTCCCCAAAAGGTGTTCATGCCTCCCTGTGGCTAGTACAGGCTGAGCACTAAGATGCTTAGTGCTCAGACAACCTGGGGATGCCTGTCCCCTACCTGCTCCTCACCCACAGCTACCTGAGGCTGCTCTGAGAAGTACACACAGGAATACATATGCTCCTCTATTCTTCCCTTCATCCTCATTTGAACGCCAGGTGTCTCCCCTCCTCTCTCTCCCCTGCAGAGGCATGTAGGGAACAGCGGAGATTATTCTCACCAAAGTTATGTCAAGCCCCATTGGCCCCTGGAGTAGCTGGAGGGAAGCCAACCCCCTGCAGCACAAACAGGCCCCCCAGCCGCAGCCGTGTGCTGGCAGATAGGGTTGTATTATTTTTTCTTACCCCATGCCTGACCAAGGGAGGTCAAAAGGAGAAAAGTATAGGCTGTGGACAATAACTGATGAATATAGGGCCCAGATGGACCAAGTGGGGCCGGGGAGGGATGAACAAACACCCTACCCCATGCCCTGTCTTTGGTGAGCAGCAGCCCTGGGGTCACAGACATGGAAGGGACCACCTGGGGCTGACTGCTTTTCTGTGCTGTTGGTTCCCAAAACTATAAAGAAGGAAGCAGGGAGCGGTGCCCCAAGCATGGCTCCTGCCAATACCTATTTATTTCCTTGTTTGTGCTATGCTGGGCAGGCCTTCTCTTGTCCCTTGTAGGTACCCTGGAGGGGCCAGGGGCTGAGGAGGGCTGGACCCAGGTTCCAGGGGCGGAGGCAGTGCGGCTTTTGGCTGTGTACATAGGGTGCTTTATTCTCCACAGAGTGATACATGCTAAGGTGGGTTGGGCTTGGGCCGATGTCCCCATATGTACAGAACTGAATAAAGTGGGTCTCTGAGAAGTCTGATGTGCCTTGATGTGGAAAGGGAGATGGGGAAGATGGAAATGGACGTTACAACCAGGGATGTGTTCAGTCCTCTGCTGGTTCTGGCCTGGAATGTAGGAAGATAAGGCAGCTCTCACTGTGGTCACTTCCAAGCAGGGGATGCCTGCCGGGCTTGGAGGGCTTTCTGTACCACATCTTCCCACTGGGCATCCGATATCTCCCGAGCCCAGGCAGGAACCCCTGGCGCAGGCAGGCTTACTCCAGCCATCGTCCTTTTCACCAGCTCTACATGTTCTGAAATCAGAGCCAGAGGCCAGTCAGGTATAGAAATAATGGGCCCAGCTCCCCTCCCCAATCCCTAAATCAACCCAGAGCCCTTGGGCTGGTGGGGTCACCAAATCCATCTTGTTACTTCAAGGCAAGCCTGCCCATCCCCAAAGCTAGCAGAAGGGCATTTCACTTGGACTCTGAAGTCTACAAAATCTTAGTTTACAAACTATCTTTTTAGGATAGGGTCTTCCTCTTAAACTTCCTTCTACTGACTCATGCCAGTTCATTTCCTTAGTAATTATTCCAGAATGAAAGAATGATCTTTTACCTGGGTCCATGGGAATAGAGCTGTGGTTGTTCAACGCTGTAGCTCCCTCCTCCTCTTCATCTTCACTCTCTAATGGTGGGTCTGGCAAATGAAGCCCCAGGGCCTGCAGAGCCAGAGAAGACTGTTTGGGTCCAGGCTTTCAGGGAGCCCAGCTTCACCTGTTGAGGAACCATCCCTCCTCCACCCTACCTGGATTCGATCCTGGATGTCAGCAACTACATCTCCATCCCCCACTGGTGCCAGTTCCACCTCCTCTTGTTCAGGATCTTGGTTCAGGGGCTGGTAGGAGTAGCCAGCTGGGCCCGACCCCGTTTCCTCCTGCTCTTCCTCAGGCTCCTCACTGCTCCAATCCCCAGTGCCTTCTGAAGGGCCCTGATGTGGTCCCAGTTCCTCAGTCTGATTGGGGAAGATACGCTCAGGGCCCATGGTGTCTCCCCCTAGAACTACTGTTGCCATCCGGGCAGGGGCTGCAAGAACAGGGAGGCGGTAGGACAGGGATTGGATGAAACCAGGCCCATGTTCATCCTCTCATCATCTCTTTGTGGTCTCCTGTGTGCAAAATAACCAGCTCCTCCCCGAGGCTCCTGCATCCTCCACCCCTCCGCCCCGCTTCCAGCCTCTCGTTCCTCCCCCTTAGTCGGGGCTCTTATCTTGAACCAGGCCCCATCCGCCTTGCTCCGCCACTTCCTAATTAAACGCCCAACCGGAGGCCCTGCCACCTCCTAAAAGACACCCCTTCCAGAATCCCGGCTCCCCCGCCACGCCTCCCCCGCGACTTGGGAACTCTGGATCATCAGAGTCCCCTAAACAGGGCGTACCCGCCCCCTTCTCCCCTCTCCTAGAAGTCCCCCTCTGTACCGCCTGACAGATGCCCTTCAGGCCCCATGGGCTCCCCTCAAATGGCCCCAGCTGCGGCGTCCCCCACCCGCCCCCATCCGAAGCCCGTCGCCGGTGTTTCCGCGCGCCTCACCCGCTCAGAGCCCGTGGCCTCCACTTCCGGCGGGGCAGGACGTGCAGAGGTGCCTAGTCCTCCAGCCCCGCCCCATGCCTATGATTGACACTGGCGAGGACGAGGAGTCCCCCCCTTGCCCCGCCTCCGTCATGCCCAGCCCAGAAAACAAAGGACTGCATTACCCAGTGGCCTCCTCGGTCTTGACATATATTTGCACATGCGCAGAATCTCTCCTGCGCCCCTGCCCACTCCTCAGCCCTCTCGTCTCTCAGGAAACGTGTGGACTACAAGTCCCGGAATGCCTCGGGGACTTAGCTACGACTGCACGTGCGCGCACAGCTGCCCGCCGGAAGAATCGAGCTTGGCTGTGTTTATCTCGTTGGGGACTAAGGCGTCGGTTGGCGCGCAACGGGTTCTAGGCTGCAGGCAGCGCGAGGACCCGCGGCCCCGCCCCGGCTCGGCCTGGCAGGTAGCCTGGGATGGGTGGAAGGGCAAGGAAGAATTAGGGGGCTGAGGACGCGCTGTCTAGAGCTGGAGTGGCGGGGGAGGGGCCTGAGAGTGATGAGGTGGGGGTGGGGAGGGAGCTAGGGGGATGATGGGAAAGGAGAGTGTTAATGGGGAAAGCGGATCTAGGGGAGGATGGCCAGGAGATGGGTAGGAGAGACCTGGTGTCTGGAGGAAGCAATGAAGGAAATGGGAAGGAAGACTGGGCTATGAAAACAGGGAAGCTGAGCATAGTGGAAGGGGAGGGGTGACTGGCGTGGTGGGCTAGAGGAGGCCGGAATGTCTGGAAGAAGACAGGGATAGAGTCATATGCAGGGAGGGATATCCGTGGTCAGGGCATGTTAATTTTTCTTTCCTTAGTGGAGGTGGGAAAATGGAGGGCTGTTGGGTGGAGCTTGGAATGGTAGGAGAAGGAAAAATGAGAAAACTGCAAAGCTCTCACGAGATCGAGAAGGGCGAGAAATGGGGAATAAAAAATGCAAGAGACCAGGCGGGTAGATACATTAAGGGAATAGAAGAAGCTTGAAAATGCTTGGTGGTGATGGAGGATTGGGGAGACCCAGGGATAAGAGGAGCCCCTGAGAGCCTGGGGGCTTGTTCTCCTTGAATTTGAGTTGTTCTTATGGCAGAGAAACTAAAAATTTTTTTCTCCACCTTTGACTGGAATTGCTTATCTCTTCTCCTGTGCATATTTTACTTTACCTTGACATATCTGAAGGGAAGAATAGAGGATATAAGGAAGGATGGAAGACTTCCATTCTTAAGCCCATCGACCTCCTAACAATTTCCACAAGCCCAGACCCAAGATATTTTGGAGACCGGGAGTAATGAAGTGAGAGTAGCTTCCTGCTGGGGCTATTTCAGGATGGGCCCCATGGCTATTTAAAGCTTAGGGTGTGGAGTTGGGGGAGGTTGGGTGGGTGGGACTAGCAAGCCAGCTGAAAGCCATGTCTCTTTCCTGCAAGGGGCCTCCCTTATTAGAGCTGTTTTTGTGCCTGAGGTTTTGCCTGGCCCTGTGCTCTGCCAGGGCTTCTTAAACAGGGAGCAGATGATGATCCACCCAAACTCAGGAGATGCCTGCCAGCAAAAGCATTGTCACTTGCAAGGATTTGCCTGAAAAAAACCTCAGATGTACCCAGGTGTACCTGCCACTAGGTTGACTGGTTGTGTTTAAGAGACCGTGACCGGCTGGGTGCGGTGGCTCACGCCTGTAATCCCAGCAGTTTGGAAGACCAAGGCGGGCGGATCACCTGAGGTCAGGAGTTTGAGACCAGCCTGGCCAACATGATGAAACCCTGTCTCTACTAAAAATACAAAAATTAGCCGGGTGTGGTGGCAGTCACCTGTAATCCCAGCTACTCAGGAGACTGAGGCAGGAGAATCCCTTGAACTCGGGAGGTGGAGGTTGCAGTGAGTCAAGATTGCGCCATTGCACTCCAGCCTGGGGACAAGAGTGATACTTCATCTCAAAAAAAAAAAAAAAAAAAGACCATGACCTCTCATGCTCGATCTTTCTCTTGTCCTGCCCAAGGGCATTTTTTGCCTCCCTTCCCTTTTTTCTTTCTTTTTTTTTTTTTGAGACAGAATCTCGCTCTGTCGCCAGGCTGGAGTGTAGTGGTGCGATCTGGGCTCACTCCAACCTTCGCCTCCCAAGTTCAAGCAATTCTGCCTCAGCCTCCTGAGTAGCTGGGACTACAGGCGCACGCCACCATGCCCAACTAATTTTTGTATTTTTAGTAGAGCCGGGTTTCACCATGTTGGCCAGGATGGTCTCCATCTCTTGACCTCGTGATCCACCTGCCTCGGCCTCTCAAGGTGCTGGGATTACAGGCGTGAGCCACCGTGCCCAGCCCCTTCCCCTTTCCATTGCACACTCCCACCTCTATCCGCCTTTCAGGAGCCCAAGTTGTGGAAGACCTTGTTCCCTCTTTTCTACTGGAAATGGCTTGTTCTCTACCACAGTAGCAGGGATGGGGAAGTGGCAGGAGGAGAAAACCCTTCCCTCTATCCCCATCCCCCAAGCCTAAGCATACACATACCTTTCTGGCTTAAGTCCTGGCAGCATACCAGGCACAGCTGTCAAAGGAACTCCTTGTGCCTGTGGGGGGCCCTGGGTGACCCCAATAACAACAACTCAGCTTGACAAGAGCTCCCTGTGAGGGGCTAACCAACCAAGGTAACATGGAGGTCCCTTCCTGGATCAGTCCCGCCCTATCTTGGGTAGGGGGATTGTTCTACTCTAAAAGCCTGAAAGCTTTTCTGCTTTGAGGCACTCATGCCAGCTTTCGATGGACTGTCTGAGGCTGGCTGGGCTATTAATAGCTGTGAGTATTTTGAGATCCCTTTCCCCACCTTAAAGAACACAGATTCTTAGAGAGGTGGCAGTAAGCAGAGCAGAGACAAGAGAATATACCATTTGGGAAGGGGCTTCAAGTTTGTGCCAAGCCAGGGACAGAGTGGAGCCTCCACGAGTAGGTGGTGACCATAATCAGCAGATTCTGAGCTGGCAATCAAGTGGGGGCGGCCCCACCCTTCACTGTTGGAGAACACTGGGCCAGGGCTAGCTCCCTGACCTCGGCAGCTCCCTTGGGGCAGGGCCAGCCACCTGAGCTGTGACTAGTGTCCCTGTGGAGGGGTAGTGTGGGAGGGCCACCAGGGTGACACTTGGAGGCAAAGGCTGGTTCTGGGCAGAGTCACAGTGAGCTGGGCAGAAGCCTTGCCTGAGGATCCTGTGGCCCCAATTTGTGTGCAGGTAGCAGAGGCAGCAGGCCGTGCCGGGGGGGCATGTTGCTGTAACCAGTGGTCCAGGGGATGTTACGGTGGACAGTGCACCTGGAGGGCGGGCCCCGCAGGGTGAACCATGCTGCAGTGGCTGTCGGGCATCGGGTATACTCCTTCGGGGGTTACTGCTCTGGTGAAGACTATGAGACGCTGCGTCAGATAGATGTGCACATTTTCAATGCAGGTAAGCCAGTGCTGGGGCTGTCCCTGAGTCCCCACATCAGGGTGGGAAACGGGCTGCTGATGAGGTTTGGCTGTGGTCTCTGGGACCAAGGGGATTGGGGACGAACATCTGGTTTGGGAAAGGTGGACAGCCTGGAGGGAAGTTCCCAGGGCTGAGCAGAGCTGTGTCCACAGTGTCCTTGCGTTGGACAAAGCTGCCCCCGGTGAAGTCTGCCATCCGTGGGCAAGCTCCTGTCGTACCCTACATGCGCTATGGACACTCAACCGTCCTCATTGACGACACGGTCCTCCTTTGGGGCGGGCGGAATGACACCGAAGGGGCCTGCAATGTGCTGTATGCCTTTGACGTCAGTGAGTATGGATCTCAGAGAGGCTATGTCCTTCTAGATGTTGCCTCAGTTGCCTGAGAAAGGTTTGGGTTGGGGGTCTTGGGGAGTAGAGTACCCCAGAGCTCAGGAGGGAGTGTTGTAGAGGGTGCTTAGTTGAGCCATTTTCTCATCTCCTTCAGATACTCACAAGTGGTTCACACCCCGAGTGTCAGGGACAGTTCCTGGGGCCCGGGATGGACATTCGGCCTGTGTCCTAGGCAAGATCATGTACATTTTCGGGGGCTACGAGCAGCAGGTAGGTCTGGGAATAAACTAAGAGGTTTAGGGTGGGACTGAGAAAGAGGGGAAGGGCAATTTTGGATGGTGAAATGGGAGGCTTTGGCTTGTTTGCAGGTTTTGAGGGGAGGGATGGAGGGTCAGAGAGTGACTGTTGGCTCCCTCTTTTCTTCCTCCTTTTCTCTTCCTACTCAGGCGGACTGCTTTTCCAATGACATTCACAAGCTAGATACCAGCACCATGACATGGACTCTTATCTGTACAAAGGTCTGCTCTTTCTTTTTTCTCCCAAATCCCCACCCTCCGTTGAAGAAATGATAGGAAGCTCAGTCAGAGCAGATCCTCTTCCAGCCTTTGTTCTGACCCCTCCACCATCTCTCTGCCTCTGCCCAGGGCAACCCTGCACGCTGGAGGGACTTCCACTCAGCCACAATGCTGGGAAGTCACATGTACGTCTTTGGGGGCCGTGCCGACCGCTTTGGGCCATTCCATTCCAACAATGAGATTTACTGCAACCGCATTCGAGTCTTTGACACCAGAACTGAGGCTTGGCTGGACTGTCCCCCGACTCCAGTGCTGCCTGAGGGGCGCCGGAGCCACTCGGCCTGTGAGTGTTTGTTACTTCCATGTGGAGTTCCCTTCCTGCCCTCTTCACACTCTTGATGTTTTCTCTCTCCTTCCAGTTGGCTACAATGGGGAGCTGTACATCTTTGGTGGCTATAATGCAAGGCTGAACCGGCACTTCCATGACCTCTGGAAGTTTAATCCTGGTAAAGAGCACTGCGTTTAGGGCAGGCGTTTAGGGCAGGAACAAGGAGCAATTGAGGTGGGAGGAAAAGAAAATAATCCTGAGGAGGTGAGGGATGGGGGTGGGGAAGATATCTGGACTAGGCAGGTATTGAACTTCCATATAAATTTCTCTTCAGTGTCCTTTACCTGGAAAAAGATTGA